ACACCAAGGCCAGTCCTGACCAGAAGTGGCTGCACAGGGAAGCCATCTTGGCTTGTTGTTGTGAAGGATGCATCCTGAGGAGGTTGTGTACTTATATCTGCTAGTCTTAGATAACAGAGAATATGCCTATCAGACTCTGAAGGAGTATGCCAGGGATCAGCTGCTAGAGTGCATACGGGTCGCTCATTCCCTAGTAGATCAGGGCACGGAGTTCTCTGAGGTGCAACCATTAATTCAGGCTTGTGCTGAGTTGGCTTCATCTAGTACCCCTGAAAGCAAGGATGACTTTTTGCCACCATTTAGTGCAGACCAAGTAGAGTCACTGGTATGGTTGCTGGGGAGGATGATCCGGATTGCTTCTTGGAGCATTATTCAGCATGTTCACAACATGTGCTAGTGGATTGTATAAATGCAGTGCAGTCTTTGGTCAGACAGGCTTTGTGTAAGCCGAGCTTTGTTCCACCAGTACTACAGACATGGTCAGATTTGTTACATCCAGCCCCAGTCAGCTTGCAACAACCCAGTCCTGCTTCTAATCATTCCTCCATTTCCCACAGCACCCCCAGTGACAGCCCAGTATACCCTGCTATCAACCACATGTCAGTCCCCTGTTCCCACTCGCTGCACCTATCCTGCCTTCAACCCTGTAAAGAAGTCATCTGTAGAAGCTGCTCCCTCCGTTTACAGCCCTGCATTTACTTGCGGTGCTCCAGAAACTAAACCCAAGAAGAAGCAAAAATTTTTTCCAACCAGTACCATCCTGCCAATATCCAAACCGGTCAGCCTGCCGTCTGAGAACCCCGCCTTCCGTTGTCCAGCCTGGTGCCCTGGTGCCCGCTCTTCAGCCTGATGCCCGGATGCCTGATGACCCAGTGTACGCTACCCAGCCTGATGATCCTACCTAGCCTGATGATCCTACCCAGCCTGATGATCCTATCCAGCCTGATGATCTGGTGCCCGCTACCCAGCCTGATGATCCAATGCCTGTTATCCAGCCAGATGCCCCGGTGCCCGCTGTCCTGCCTGATGACCCGGTGCCCGCTACCCAGCCTGATGACCCGATCCAGCCTGATGACCCGATCCAGCCTGATGCCCCGGTGTCCGTAGTCCAGCCCGGCGCCCCGGTGCCGTGGTCCAGCCTGGCGCCCCGGTGCCCGCTGTTGAGCCAGATGACTTGGTGCCCGCTGTCGAGCCAGATGACCCAGTGCCCGCTGTCCTGTCTGATGACTCGGTGCCCGCTGTCATGCCAGATGGCTCGGTGCCCGCTGTCGTGCCAGATGACTCAGTGCCCGCTGTTCTGCCAGATGACTCGGTGCCCCCCTGTTCTGCCAGATGGCTCGGTGCCCGCTGTCGCGCCAGATGGCTTGGTGCCCGCTGTCGCGCCAGATGGCTCGGTGCCCGCTGTCGCGCCAGATGACTCGGTGCCCGCTGTCATGCCAGATGACTCGGTGCCCGCTGTCGAGCTTGGTGACCCAGTCCCCGTTGTTCTGCCAGATGACTTGGTGCCCGCTGTCGTGCCAGATGGCTCGGTGCCCGCTGTCGTGCCAGATGACTCGGTGCCCGCTGTCGAGCCTGTGACCCGGTGGTGCTGTCCCTGGTGACCCGGTGCCCACTGTCGTGCCAGATGACTCGGTGCCCGCTGTCGTGCCAGATGACTCGGTGCCCGCTGTCGAGCTTGGTGACCCGGTGCCCGCTGTTCTGCCAGATGACTCGGTGCCCGCTGTTCTGCCAGATGGCTCAGCGGTTGCTGTCGTGCCAGATGACTCGGTGCCCGCTGCCTCGCCTGATGGCCCGGTGCCTGCTGCCTCACACTGATGGCCCGGTGCCCGCTGCCTCGCCTGATGGCCCGGTGCCCACTGCTCTGCCTGATGTGCCTCTGCCTGCTGCCCAGCCTGACGTGCCTCTGCCTGCTGCCCAGCCTGACGTGCCTCTGCCTGCTGCCCAGCCTGACGTGCCTCTGCCTGCTGCCCAGCCTGACGTGCCTCCGCCCGCTGCCCAGCCTGACGTGCCTCCGCCCGCTGCCCAGCCTGACGTACAGGCTCTTGATGCCCAGCCTGCTTCTGGAAATCCTGTGTCCAGCAACCTGCCTTCCTGCGGTCTTCTGCAAAAAGATAGGCCTATCAGCAGGAGACCCAGCCAATCGCTTGATTCCGGCAGTGGGATGTCCAGCCAGTTTCCGGACCCAGGTGGTGAAACATTTGGGCCATTATGGACTGTTTGGAGCGTCCTGAGGCCGCTCCTTGGGGGGGGGGGGGGGGGGGTACTGTCAGGAATGGTCTTATCTCTGGTAGTGCTGGGGCTTACCTGCCTTGTGGGCTGCAGTACCAGTGCTGGCCAGCGGGTGCTCTCAGCAGCCAGTGTCTCACTCCTGCAATCAGGCCATCACCTGAGGCTGATTGCAGGAGGTGTATTTAAGCAGGACCAGGCCTGCAGTCAGTGCCTTGGTGTATTGCTCCCTTGTGCCCTGTATCCTGATCCTGTATCCTGCCTGCCTGACTCTCTTCTTTGATCCTGACTCCGCATGAACTCTGCCTGTACTGACCTCGGCTACTCCTGACCACTCTCCTGCCTACTCCTTGTACCTTGTCTGCCCATTAGCTACCGACCCGGCCTACCCAACTACGTTTGGTGTTGTACATATTGTTATCTGTTGGAGGTTTGGTTTTGTTTGCACTGTGTTTATGTTTAGCCTTGCACTGCGTTTATGTTTTGTTTAGCCTTTAATAAATTGTATTGTTTTATACTATACCTGAAGTCTGCGTTTCCCTTTGTCCATCCACACATCTCTGGTCATACCCGGATCCCTGACATTACACCAAGGCCAGTCCTGACCAGAAGTGGCTGCACAGGGAAGCCATCTTGGCTTGTTGTTGTGAAGGATGCATCCTGAGGAGGTTGTGTACTTATATCTGCTAGTCTTAGATAACAGAGAATATGCCTATCAGACTCTGAAGGAGTATGCCAGGGATCAGCTGCTAGAGTGCATACGGGTCGCTCATTCCCTAGTAGATCAGGGCACGGAGTTCTCTGAGGTGCAACCATTGATTCAGGCTTGTGCTGAGTTGGCTTCATCTAGTACCCCTGAAAGCAAGGATGACTTTTTGCCACCATTTAGTGCAGACCAAGTAGAGTCACTGGTATGGTTGCTGGAGGATGATCCGGATTGCTTCTTGGAGCATTATTCAGCATGTTCACAACATGTGCTAGTGGATTGTATAAATGCAGTGCAGTCTTTGGTCAGACAGGCTTTGTGTAAGCCGAGCTTTGTTCAACCAGTACTACAGACATGGTCAGATTTGTTACATCCAGCCCCAGTCAGCTTGCAACAACCCAGTCCTGCTTCTAATCATTCCTTCATTTCCCACAGCACCCCCAGTGACAGCCCAGTATACCCTGCTATCAACCACATGTCAGTCCCCTGTTCCCACTCGCTGCACCTATCCTGCCTTCAACCCTGTAAAGAAGTCATCTGTAGAAGCTGCTCCCTCCGTTTACAGCCCTGCATTTACTTGCGGTGCTCCAGAAACTAAACCCAAGAAGAAGCAAAAATTTTTTCCAACCAGTACCATCCTGCCAATATCCAAACCGGTCAGCTTGCCGTCTGAGAACCCGCCTTCCGTTGTCCAGCCTGGTGCCCTGGTGCCCGCTCTTCAGCCTGATGCCCGGATGCCTGATGACCCAGTGTACGCTACCCAGCCTGATGATCCTACCTAGCCTGATGATCCTACCCAGCCTGATGATCCTATCCAGCCTGATGATCTGGTGCCCGCTACCCAGCTTAACGATCCTATCCAGGCTGATGACCCGATGCCCGTTATCCAGCCTGATGATCCGATGCCTGTTATCCAGCCAGATGCCCCGGTGCCCGCTGTCCTGCCTGATGACCCGGTGCCCGCTACCCAGCCTGATGACCCGATCCAGCCTGATGACCCGATCCAGCCTGATGCCCCGGTGTCCGTAGTCCAGCCCGGCGCCCCGGTGCCCGTGGTCCAGCCTGGCGCCCCGGTGCCCGCTGTTGAGCCAGGTGACTTGGTGCCCGCTGTCGAGCCAGATGACCCGGTGCCCGCTGTCCTGTCTGATGGCTCGGTGCCCGCTGTCATGCCAGATGGCTCGGTGCCCGCTGTCGTGCCAGATGACTCAGTGCCCGCTGTTCTGCCAGATGACTCGGTGCCCACTGTTCTGCCAGATGGCTCGGTGCCCGCTGTTGCGCCAGATGACTCGGTGCCCGCTGTCATACCAGATGACTCGGTGCCCGCTGTCGAGCTTGGTGACCCAGTCCCCGTTGTTCTGCCAGATGACTTGGTGCCCGCTGTCGTGCCAGATGGCTCGGTGCCCGCTGTCGTGCCAGATGACTCGGTGCCCGCTGTCGAGCCTGGTGACCCGGTGCCTGCTGTCGAGCCTGGTGACCCGGTGCCCGCTGTCGTGCCAGATGACTCGGTGCCCGCTGTCGTGCCAGATGACTCGGTGCCCGCTGTCGAGCTTGGTGACCCCGTGCCCGCTGTTCTGCCAGATGACTCGGTGCCCGCTGTTCTGCCAGATGACTCAGTGCCCGCTGTTCTGCCAGATGACTCGGTGCCCACTGTTCTGCCAGATGGCTCGGTGCCCGCTGTTGCGCCAGATGACTCGGTGCCCGCTGTCATACCAGATGACTCGGTGCCCGCTGTCAAGCTTGGTGACCCAGTCCCCGTTGTTCTGCCAGATGACTTGGTGCCCGCTGTCGTGCCAGATGGCTCGGTGCCCGCTGTCGTGCCAGATGACTCGGTGCCCGCTGTCGAGCCTGGTGACCCGGTGCCTGCTGTCGAGCCTGGTGACCCGGTGCCCGCTGTCGTGCCAGATGACTCGGTGCCCGCTGTCGTGCCAGATGACTCGGTGCCCGCTGTCGAGCTTGGTGACCCGGTGCCCGCTGTTCTGCCAGATGACTCGGTGCCCGCTGTTCTGCCAGATGACTCGGTGCCCGCTGTTCTGCCAGATGGCTCAGTGCTTGCTGTCGTGCCAGATGACTCGGTGCCCGCTGCCTCACCTGATGGCCCGGTGCCCGCTGCCTCGCCTGATGGCCCGTGCCCACTGCTCCGCCTGATGGCCCGGTGCCCGTTGCTCCGCCTGATGTGCCTCTGCCTGCTGCCCAGCCTGATGTGCCTCTGCCTGCTGCCCAGCCTGACGTGCCTCTGCCTGCTGCCCAGCCTGACGTGCCTCTGCCTGCTGCCCAGCCTGACGTGCCTCTGCCTGCTGCCCAGCCTGACGTGCCTCTGCCCCTGCTGCCCTGCCTGCCCTGACGTGCCTCCGCCCGCTGCCCAGCCTGACGACGTACAGGCTCTTGATGCCCAGCCTGCTTCTGGAATCCTGTGTCCAGCAACCTGCCTTCCTGCGGTCTTCTGCAAAAAGATAGGCCTATCAGCAGGAAAGACCCAGCCAATCGCTTGATTCCGGCAGTGGGATGTCCAGCCAGTTTCCGGACCCAGGCGGTGGAACATTTGGGCCATTATGGACTGTTTGGAGCGTCCTGAGGCCGCTCCTTGAGGGGGGGGGGTACTGTCAGGAATGGTCTTATCTCTGGTAGTGCTGGGGCTTACATGCCTTGTGGGCTGCAGTACCAGTGCTGGCCAGCGGGTGCTCTCAGCAGCCAGTGTCTCACTCCTGCAATCAGGCCATCACCTGAGGCTGATTGCAGGAGGTGTATTTAAGCAGGACCAGGCCTGCAGTCAGTGCCTTGGTGTATTGCTCCCTTGTGCCCTGTATCCTGATCCTGTATCCTGCCTGCCTGACTCTCTGCTTTGATCCTGACTCCGCATGAACTCTGCCTGTACTGACCTCGGCTACTCCTGACCACTCTCCTGCCTACTCCTTGTACCTTGTCTGCCCATTAGCTACCGACCCGGCCTGCCCAACTACGTTTGGTGTTGTACATATTGTTATCTGTTGGAGGTTTGGTTTTGTTTGCACTGTGTTTATGTTGAGCCTTGCACTGCGTTTATGTATTGTTTAGCCTTTAATAAATTGTATTGTTTTATACTATACCTGAAGTCTGCGTTTCCCTGTCGGTCCACACATCTCTGGTCATACCCGGATCCCTGACACCTAACCTGCCACTATACTGCCCTAGCCTGTCACTATACTGCCCTAACCTGCCACTATACTACCCTAGCCTGCCACTATACTGTCCTAACCTGCCACTATACTGCCCTAACCTGCCACTATACTGTCCTAACCTGCCACTATACTGCCCTAACCTGCCACTATACTGCCCTAACCTGCCACTATACTACTCTAAACTGCCACTATACTTCCCCAGCCTGCCACTATACTGCCCTCACCTGACACTATACTGCCTTAGCCTGCCATTATACTGCCCCAATCTGCCACTATACTGCCATCATACTTCTCTAGCCTCTCACTATGCTGAACTAGCATAACCATATCTCTTTTATATATGTGTGATTGAAGTGTGGCATTGGGTTAATGATATGCTGCTTTCAAAACCACGCCTGTTTTAATGAATGCCTCATCCCTAATTTAAGTACATTCTTTATCTACAGTGGCTTTCTGGGAGCAGTGCAAAAAAAGTAACCCTGATGTTTTTAAAATGTTGGCAACTATGCTGAACTACTATCTCTGCACTGCACAAAGCCTGGGCAATGGCTGCAGAGCTCCTGTTCGCCACACAGCGCAGCTGAGATCAGATTTCCTTACACACAACCACAATCTGCACAGTGTGTAGCTGGTTGCCATGTTGCAGTTCTGACCTGTGAAATTCCATGGTCATAATGGTAGCGCAGCTGCAGAAGCCAGCTGTCAGGAATGGACTCGCCAATAGTGGTGGGAGATTTTTATTGGATAATTGTAGCATACAAAACAGCCACAACTTTTTCTTATAAAAGTAAAAAATATAAATAAATACAAACATAAACCTCGTGTACAAAAAAAAAAGTGCAGGACTTCCTGAAAGGGAAAAACTCAACCCAGAATGAAACAGCCATTTATGGCCTGCAGCATAGTAGTCCATGGCCTTTTTGGCCTTAAACAGAAAAGTCCATACCTAAAAAGAAAACCAACACATATACATATAGGCCTTTATGGCCAAAGGAAGGAGCAACAAAGCCTGATGCTCCAGGCATACAAAAAAAACCACATCATCAGCATAGAAAATAAATACCTATGAAGGCCTTTATGGCAAAAACAATCAATTTCCATCTCACTGCTTCAGACGGCCTTTATGGCCTAAACAAGCTATACAAACAAAACAATTACATACCTAAAAAAAGGACTAAGAAACTCAGACCTTCAGCATCTGCAGCCTTTCATCAAAAAGGATCCATACCTGCAAAACCTAGGGGAGTGTAAAAGAAGAAAAACTAGGGACAGATGCCACCACCCGAGATCAACAGGTAGCAGCTACAGGCCTGATGTTCCTCCATGCCTCCATCCAAGCCTTCCGCCGCCACCTGCCTCTCTCAAGGCCCCGAATCTTCCCAACCTCACCAAGGATGCCACACACCACCACCTGGACGGGGAGGACTTTTTTCCGAATGGATACCTGGCACCGTGCATTCCACGTGTAATAACGGACCACTAAGCTGACTAAAAACAAGGTGTCCAAATCAAAACCCTGGAGGCTTTCGAATGCTCCATACACCCACTCTGCATAAGACATGCAGTGTAGGAAAGAAACACCCAGAGCCCCACCCACCTCTTTATATACTTCCACGTTAAAGGGGCACTGAAGCAAGAAGTGGACCATAGTTTCCACTTCACCCTGACACTCCGACCTCGGACAACCACGGTCATCCAGAGGACGGCACTTCAAGTTACCCCTCACGTAAAGCCTGCCATGGAAAGCGAGCCAGGCCTGGTCCCTAAACTTCAAGGGAATCCGTTCTAGATTTATCAAACGTAAACCCTCCCTCATGATATGGCCTGGGCAATCTTTCAAGGCCAACGGCGCATGGAAAGCGGTCGCCACAACCCTCTCACCCAGGAGCCTCCTAGGGAGGGATCTGACCTCCTCAGCCGTCACATGCCACCGCCGGAGTAACTTCAGGCACGGGGCCACATAAGTCGGGAGCTTACCGTGCTTGACCCGCAGGCTTTTCACTGGCCCGCCACTCTCCCAACTGCTCAGAAAGGGTCCGAACCAAGTCCGAAACAGCCCTACCCATACAGGTGGTCTCTCTGCCAGCATGTTACCAAAATTATGTTTCAAGAACATCAGAGAGAAGAAAACTATCGGGTTGACCATACCTAGGCCACCCTCCCGCCTGGATGAGTAGGTTACGTCCCGCCTGACAAGGTTCAGCCTGTTCCCCCATAACATCTGGAAGAAACAGCTGTAAATCCTCGTATAGAGCGACTCTGGCAAGAGGCAAACAAAACTGACATACAAAAACACAGGGACCAAGAAAGTTTTGATCAGGTCAACCCTTTCCCTCAAGGAGAGCCGCCACCCCTTCCAGCATCTCACCTTGACCTCAGCATCGGACAGCTTGGCCTCCCAATTTGACTTGCTGTAATCAGCAGGGCCGAAATTGATGCCTAAAATTTTCACACACTCTGCTGAGGCACTGGGAAGGTGTCCGGAAGTGAGAAGCTCTCACCCTCCCCACCCATCCAGAGAACTTCACATTTGTCCCGATTGACCTTGGAGCCAGACGCCTCGGCATACTGATCCATCACCGAGACCACCTCCTGCGCCTCCCCGGGTCCCAGAGATGAAGACAGAAACGTCGTCAGCATAGGCGACGACCCTCAGGGGCGGATCCCCAGCAGCACCCACCGGCACCCCCCCACCCAACGCCCCACCATCTAGCCTCCTGACGAAGGGGTCGATAGCAAAAACGTAGAGCAGAGGGCTCAGCGGGCACCCCTGGCGCACCCCCGATCCAACCCCAAAAGGCCGCCCAACCCAACCATTCACCAACCAACATGAAGCTCTCAGCCTCCCTGTATAACGTCTTCAGCCAGCCAATGAACCTCCCCTCCAAACCGTACCGGTCCAGGAGATGCCAGAGGTACTCGTGATTGACTCGGTCAAAAGCCTTTGCCTGGTCCACAGCCAGCAGAAACTTTCCCCATCCCTCAGCCTTACACCGTTCCAGAGCCTCCCGGACAGCTAACACCGCTGTGAAGGTACTCCTGCCCTGAACCGAGCAATGCTGCTGACGAGAAAGCAAGCCGTCTGCCACTGACGACAAGCGCCAGAACAAGATCTTAGCCAGAACCTTTCTATCGACATTGAGAAGGCTAATGGGGCGCCAATTCTCAATAGCCGAAGGATCCTTACCCTTTGACAGGAGAATCACTGCAGACTGCCTCATGGAGGGAGGGAGGGACCCCTCACCCAGACAGCAATTGTAAACCTCCGCAAGGCGAGGCGCCAAGCTGGACTTAAAGCTCTTAAAAAACTCAGCTGTCAAACCATCTGGCCCAGGAGTCTTTTTAATGGCCAGATTGTCAATGGCTTTGATCACCTCTTCTGCAGTAATTTCCCCAGTCAAACTTGCGGGCGAGACATTACCTTCCAGACCCGGTGTAGACTCCAAAAAGCTTAACATCCTTGTCCGGTCGAGGTGCTTCTCACTCAGCAAGTCCACATAAAAGGACCTAGAGACTTCCAGAATCCCTGACCTGGATCTCGTCAGAGACCCCGTACCATCCCTCAGGGCAGAGACCGTCTTAATTGCTGCACCCTGTTTGCAGTTCTGAAAAGGGTCGGGCGAGTGGTACTTCCCATAATCCCTCTCCAGAACCAAAGAGGCACGCCGGTCATATTGGTACTCCCTGAGGAGAAGCTTGACCTCCGAGATTGCCCCAGAATCTCCACCGCTAGAAACAAGGCGGTCGAGCTTCCTCCGCAACCGTTGGTAGGCGATGTACTTATTAAATTGCTTTCTTTTTCCTATGGCCTTGAAAAACCTGCCAATCCGCACCTTAGTAAGCTCCCACCACTCCGACTTACTGTTGCAGAAATCCAGCACGGTCTCCTGGGCCTGAAAGAACTCCTCAAAAGATTGTCTCACCTCCTCGTCTTCCAGCAGAGCCGAATTCAACCTCCAGATGCCCTTCCCTCTCAGCGGCGTGTCTAAACATTCAAAGTCACAGTAAGCATAAGGTGGTCAGAAAACTCCACCGCCCGACACTCAGGTGCCGAGAAGGCAGAGTCCTCCTTCAAAAAAAACCTATCTATCCTACTCTGACTGTTACCTCTCCTAAACGTGAAACCAGTGCTGTCTGGGCTGCTCTTAACCAAGGCGTCCACCAGACCTGCTTCCCTGACTATAGCATTCAGAAAAACGCTATCATATCCCAGCCTGTCATTGAAGCCCCTCCTGTCCTTGGGCCTAGTTATGGTGTTAAAATCACCTCCAAAGACCACCAGCCGAGACGTAAAAAGGAAAGGCTTGATCTTTGTGAAGAGGCATTTCCTGTCCCACTTGGACTGTGGTCCATAAATGTT